AAGATGTCCAACAAGTCCGATTCGAGCCCGGAATGTCCGTTGACATCGAGGACACGTTGGAAGCGGTTGTGCGGCGGCGTTGCTTACTGGGCGAAGTTGTGATTTGCGGGCTTCACGTTTCGCTTTGGCGGCAGCGATGCGGTAGGCTTCGTATATCGCAGCGCCTGTCTTCACTGTCCTCCTCCAGGTCGGTCGATCGAGTGCGAGCTCCTCCCAGTTGGTCGGGTTGATTTGCAGGCATTTCAGGGAGGACTTCAGGGTATCCTTGTAACGGCGAATCTGGCCTCCTTGACGGCGGGAACCCGTCGCGACGTCTCCGTAGAAGAGTCGTTTGGGTAGTCGCTCGTCGTCCATGCGCACCAGGTGGCCACTCCAGCGCAGCTGAATTTGCCTCAGTATGGCGTAGATGCTGATGATTCCCGTCCGTTACAGCACATCAGTGTCGGGGATTCGATCCTGCCACTTAAGCCTCAGGATGCGACGAAGACAACTGAGGTGGAAGTGATGCAGACGACGTGTCTGCTTTGCGTACACCGTCCAAGTCACCGCTCCATACAGTAGTGTCGGCAGGATGACGGCCTTGTACATCTTCAGCTTCGTGCTCAGTTGGAGATCATGACGACTCCAAACTGTGCTTTGGAGGCGACCGAAGGCTTGACTGGCTTTCGAGATCCTGTTGGCGACTTAATCGTCGATCTTGGTGTTGCGGGAGAGAGTACTGCCCAGGTGCGGGAAGTTCTCCACCACTTGCAGTTGGGTTCCGTTCACGCTGATTTGCGGCGGCGCGTTGGGGGCTGTGGCTGAGTGGGGTGGCGGTTGGTGCATCACCACCGTCTTCTGCGTGTTAATGACCAGACCGAAGTACTCGCAGGCGGCGGAGAACAGGTCCATGCTCCGTTGCATCTCCTCTTCCGAGGTGGTGTTCAGGGCGCAGTCGTCGGCGAAGAGGAGTTCGTGAACGGTGGTTGTGGATACGCGCGATTGAAAGTGCATTCGCCGTTGATTCAGAAGGTGACCAACCGTCCTGTAGGCGATGCGGATCCCGGGGCGTTCGTCGCGGTAGGCGTCCATCAGCATGGCAGAGAACATAAGACTGAAGAGGTTTTGCGCCAGTACGCAGCCCTGCTTCACTCCATTGGTCACTGCGAATGCCTCTGAGACAGCTCCGTTGTCCGTGACTCGCGCCATCATACCGTCGTGCAGCTGACG